GCGCGGGCGGGCGGCGATGGCGCTGCGGGCGGGCGGCTGGCGCCCGCTCTGCCTGCTCTGCTGCCTGCTCTGCTGCCCGCTGCGCGCCGCGCGGCCGCCGCACCTCGTGGTGCTGCTGGCCGACGACCTGGGCTGGGGCGACGTGGGCTGGCACGGCTCGGCCATCCGCACGCCGCGGCTGGACGCGCTGGGCGCGGGCGGCGTGCGGCTCGAGCGCTACTACACACAGCCGCTGTGCACGCCCTCGCGCAGCCAGCTCCTCAGCGGCCGCTACCAGGTAGGGCGGCGCGGCGGCCGCGCCAACGGCCGCGCCAACGGCCGCGCTCAACGGCCGCCCTCAACGGCCGCCGCCGAGGCGAGGCGGAGCGCGCAGCGGCGGCGCGGAGCTGCCGGGCGCCGTCGCCGCGGTGCCGGGGCAGCAGCGCGTCCCGCCGGGGCCGCGGCGTGTGGCGCTGCTCGACCGCCGCGCCCGGCGGGCAGCGGGTGACCCCCAAGGAGGGCGCCGCCATGAGCGTCCCCCCGCCCGCCACAGTGCAAATCCAGCGGCGACCAGCGCGAACATGAGCGGCCCGCGCTGCTCGGCATTGCACCCCCGCGCCTCCCAGGGACGGTGCGCACCTCGCCGTGGCTCCCGGCTTCTCCCCTGCTTCATTCTTGGGCCTTTCTTGTGGTCCTTCTGGTCCTATCCTCTGAATAGGACACATTGTGCTAACGCTACTTGATGGAGCATTTTCCTACTGTCTGCTATTCTATCTATGTAGTGAGGCCTGCTTTTATCTCAAAGAATCACTTGGAGCAAGACTGTTCATATTTATGAAGATGAGGTGTATTTATGTGCGAATAAACCATCTTCCTTTTGTTACAGGCCTCGAAGTTGACTAGGTGTAGGTCTGTTGCAAGGCCCTTCAGGAAAGCTTACAAGTGCCTGTGCTTCAGGTCAGGCACCCTGGTGTCTTTGGAAAAATATCTCCCGTGCTGTCCTCCTCTGTTAGGCCCTTAACTGCACGGGCAGGTAAGGTTTGTGCAGCTTGTTTTGCAGGGCAATATGTGGATACATCCTAACCTCTGCATCCTCCTTTATGTGGACACTCCAGCCAGTCCACACTGGCTGCGTCTGGTGTCTGATACCCTCCGTTTCCAGTAGCGTAGCTGTAAGAATCAACCTTCAACATGTTGCAAAACTTTTTTGTCCTCTTGCTTCCTCTCTCCTTGTTTTAGAAGAACTCTAGCAAAAACAGGGAAGGAAGAAATAAAGCAAGAACAGGAAGAAGGAACTGATAAAGAATTAGGTTTAGCTTCCATCTCTATCAGAAAATCCTATTTATATGTGTGTTAATCATAGTGATTTGTTAAGGAAGCTGTTGGGAATGAAAATAAATGCCCCCCTGAACTATTGGCTATGTTGTTCTGTCTTGTTCTCTCATAAAGGTCATTCTAGATGATACCCTTTGGTGGCAGCTTCGGCCTGTTCCTAGAAACCTCAGGAGTCCATAATAAAGAACAGAAAGATACAGCTGATTCTTTAACTTAAAGTCTTCAACTCTCTTAATTTGTATCTGCATAACCTAAGATAATCCTTTTCTTCATTTTCACCACTCCTAGAATACAATTTGTACTTTAAGCTGCTTGTGTAGAAATATGTCATTAACAGGAGGTTCTGCATTGCTCTTAAAAGTGGAAAGGTTCATAGGTCAGCCTTTTTTTAACTGGTATGCATCTGACTTGATAATGTAGTTATTCAGTGCTGACCTTTTTAAAAATGAGTAAAATAATACTAGAAAATGGCAGTAATTTTATATAAAATTACTTGCCATATGCTGTGCAAGAAATAATTATGTAGCAGATGTGCACAATTTTGTTTTGTTTTACCACTAATTAATATTTGCTTTGAGATTTAATAAAGTAGTGGTCCTTTCCAGAGCTGGAATTTTGATAAGCATTTTGTTCTAAATGAACCAAGAGCAAAGGTATTGATTTGTGAAAATTATGGACTTTATCTTATTCTCTCCTTATTTTTGCCTTCTAGAGGCACTGGAACAAGTTACAGTACCTTATTAGCTTCTGTCTTTCACTATATTAAAAATATAGTGAAAAATATTAAAAATTGTGAACTTCATGAGTGCCCACTTACCCACTCAGCTAAGATCAGGACTCATTCAATTTAAAGGTGAATTCACCGTGATGCTAAGTGATACTTTTAATTATGTGGTTTTCTGGTTTGAAGTGCTCAGTTATGAAATTAGCTGTCCTGTGGCCCAGAGGGCCCTGGAAATTTTCTGCTTTAAGAAAGGCTTGTTGCTGGAAATAGTTAGTAAATAAATAAGATATTTAAAAATGAATGTCTACTTCCTGTCCTAGGTTTAGGATAAATGCTTTTGTTTTTGAGAGAGGGCTAGAGTAGTTGACAAAAGTACAATTATGGTACATGGTAGCTGGAGTATCCTATCAGTAATACAAGAAATATTTCACGTAATGCCTTTTGCATGATGTTTTTGTAAAGACATACAATAAGTCACTTTATAAGACTGGAAACTTATGTGGAGCTATTACAGGTCAGATTTAGCTACAGATTTAGGCTACATCTAAAACTTGCTTTATCCTTGGCATTCAAATATTTATTCTAAAAGTGCTTACGCTCCCTTTAAGTATGCATGTATATATGTATGTATGTACACATGTTTATCTATGGATGTATTTTTCATGTCTGCTTAGGGCAGTGACACAAACACTTGCCTTCGTGGCCCTCAGCACCCTTTTCCCAGTGACTGTCCTCCCACGCAGACACAAGTTCTTGCCTGCAGGGCTCTATTTCCAGCCTGTCCCCAGTGTCCCTTCACATTTCTCATTCCATGTTCAGATGTTGCCCATAGCCTTCGAACAGGCTGTGGTGGCAGGTTTTTAGAGAATGACATGATTTGGCCCCTGTCACTGCTCTCCTCGGGGCGGAGGGCAGCCCTGAAAACAGCATTCTCTAAAACTCCTGCTTTCTTGCCCTGATATTTTACTTCTTCTTGTCCTCACTTACAATGTTGCATACCTGAATGTGTATATTGTGTAAGGTGTTATATGAAATTGTAACTAATATCTGTTCCTTTTTTTTTCTCTCTCTCTTTCTAGATCCACACAGGTTTACAACACCAAATAATTTGGCCCTGCCAACCCAACTGCCTCCCCCTGGATGAGAAGCTACTCCCAGAGCTCCTTAAAGAGGCAGGATATGTTACCCACATGGTGGGGAAGTGGCATTTGGGGATGTACAGGAAGGAATGCCTTCCAACACGGAGAGGATTCGATACTTTCTTTGGTAATGTTAATATGAGTAATACAAATAGCACTTAAAAAAAAGAGAAATGATTCTTCTAAGAGTAGTAGATTTACTGTTCGTGTAACCTTAAATCAATACTTGAGCATGCCCGTTTTAAAGTGTGTTTTTTTTTTTTAAAGTAACTCTTTAAATGCATGTCAAAGGCTTAAGATTTACTGAAGAAAACGTCATAGTTATGAATTTAGAAAAGATATTTAGGAAATTCAAGGTGTATCATCAGTATGTTTTCTACAGCCCCCTTTGAACCAAACTTTTGTGTTAGGTCAGAGAGCAGACATTCATTGTTTGGTAAATAATGAAATATATCTGATAAGCTGTTCTTTTAAAAAAGAGAAACCTTTAAAAGCACTTTATACCACAACATTTCGTAGCATGATGTGCTCATGCTTTGGTAATGGAGCATAATTTCTTTTAAATTGCTTTCCCAGACCTAGTGGCAAAGAAGGTGGTCTAAGAAACTCTGTAAAACTGCATCCAAAAAGCGTGTTACAAGAATTTCAAGTTGGGAAGTAACTTGTACACACAACTTGTGACTACATCTGATTTATTTTTCTTGTCTTAATGCTAATGTCCCAGCATTAGATCTGGACGTCTGATAGTTTTGCACAAGTATCACAGATGTTAGTCTCTACTCAGATAACCTGTGAGGCATCTCTTCCCATTTGATACTAAATATAAAGTTACTAATCCCCAGTTGTTTTTTCTCAGGATGCCTTCACTGAATGGAATATTTCAATATCATTCAATCTTCAAAAGAAGTTTGTGAAATGTTTTGTTTCTGGTCTGCGAAAAGCAAAGCTACTCAAAGCTTGCTAGAATGGGCCTTGATAGAGCAATTCTTTACCATAATTTATATCAATTTATTTATTTTGGAGATCTTTAAATAATATTTCTTTTCACCAGCTGGTGTCAGCAGCAAATCAGAAATTGCCTTGCAGCTGACATTAAAAATGCTGGATGCTTTGATGTTGTTGAGTAAAGGCAAACAAAATAATAACTCCAAACTTTAATAGAGAGAAATCTTTTGTGAAAAGGCAAATATACAAAATCATACAAGCTAAAAATCATAATAGTACCTGGTCAGGCCAGGTACTATTGCTTGCTGCAAGTGTGTTACTTAATGATGATTTCTGATATAAGTCATGGGCACAGTCATTACCTATCAAAATGTTTTATATTTTTTGAAATTACTCTCTGTGTTAGCAATGAAAAGCCTAAGAAGTGTTGAATACTGAGCTAGTGAGCCTTGTCCAGGGATCATCAAGTCCTGGAGGAGTGTTTTGCTTAAAATCATCAAATTTTTGATGTTTATCTCTGACCTTGTTTCACCTGATGTGCCTGTTTGCTTGTCACCTTTCCTGTTCTAGGCTATCTTCTGGGGAGTGAGGATTACTACTCTCATGACCACTGTGTGCTCATCAAAGCAAAGAACGTAACACGCTGTGCTCTGGACTTCCGAGATGGAGAAGAAGTTGTGACTACATTTAAAAATGTGTACTCCACTAATTTATTCACTGAAAGAGCTATAGATCTCATAGCCAATCATAAGACTGAGAAGGTACAGTCAGCAGCTGTCACTTAATTTGATAACTTTAACACTAAAGGATACTTAGAATAATATTAATGCTGAGTCTTATGCTTGTGCTATGAATTTTCAGCAGGATGGAAGACAACTAAATGTGAGAATTAGTGCTCGTGAAACTTGCCTTGCTTCTCATCTGAACTAACTTTGCCTACATAACCCTGGTTTGCTACCCTTCTTTATTTGATTTTTATTGACATGGGTTGTGGCAAATGAGTTTGTGGAACCCATTTAGCATGTCTTCTAAAAGGCTCCATCTCCAAAAAGGACAAAAAAAGTTTAGTGGGAGAAGAGTCACCAAAGCTCCCTTATCTGTGCTTATGAAGAAAAGGTGCACCTGATGTTTTTCACATGATTGCATACATTATTTCTCAGTGTTTGAGTAGTTTTTGCTTAGGGGTTAGGAGACGAAAAGTTTAAAGAAATGAAAATGTCGTTCCTGTACCTTTTGATGAATGACAGATGTTTTTGCTCTAGTAACTCTTGCCTTTAATGCTTTACATTCAACAAATATGCATTTTGTCCCTTCCTCCACAGCCTCTCTTTCTCTACCTTGCTTTTCAATCTGTCCATGAGCCTCTTGAGGTCCCCGAGGAATACATGAAACCATATTCCCACATTAAGGATGAAAAGAGGCGCCGTTATTCAGGAATGGTGGCACTTATGGATGAAGCTGTAGGAAACCTTACTGATGCTCTGAAAAAGTACGATCTTTGGAATAACACAGTTCTTATTTTCTCTACTGGTGAGTGTAAATATTTTTCTAGTAATACCTTTGATACAGTGTCCAACCAACCGAATGCAGAAAACTCTCACTCCTCTATTTTTCTCTCCATATATTTTGTAACTACAAAGGCTGATTGAAAATAAACAAGGATTTTATTCCATATACAGCAGTTTTTCTTCCCCCTCACTCCTGTGATTGTCTCGAGGATAACTCAGAATGAGTGTGGGTATGGAAAATACTCCTGTTAGAGTAAATGCAGTATCGTAAAAGTTTGAGAACAGTGGTGAAGTTGGGGACATTTTACTTGTCAACGTAGTCACTGAATATCTGCCAAGAATGAACCCTTACTGAAACATACCTACCAAATTGGTTTGCACTGAGCTATAGGGAACTGTCTGCTCAGCCTATAAATTAGAGAAACTGCCATGCGGCGAGGATTTTGAAGCACAAGCTTTTTTTTTTCTTATTTACAGGTAACAGGTAAATTTTCATCTTGCTTGAGATGCTTCACTGGCACCATACCCCCAGGAAGCAAAGAGCTATTAATAACAAGTTTAATATTTGATGACACAGCCCAGGCTGCCAAATTACTATTTAAGTTGTGTATATATTAGCTCAGTGGAAACCTAATCCAGTTTCTAGATTAGTAGGATAATCCAGGTAATATATTATAAAACACTCTCTTTTGTTTCCTCTTTAGGAAGGAAACACAACCTTTTGGGAATACAGCTACTTGGCTAGAATTCAGGAAAATAATTGGTTTTGTTTTGGAGTGGGAAATAACCTTCCAAAGCTGACAATTGGTCTTTTGTCCAGGCTTTACCACCAAAGGTGTCAAAATGGCAAATTCATTCTCTATGAATGTTTGAAAGAAAGAAAGAAAAAAAGTTTTTGATGAAAATGTAATGATGTGCTTTGAATTTGCTGGCTGCATTGTATATCATTTGAAATTTTATTTTAACTCCAAACTGATTTGCTTTGTGGTGCTATGTTAGTATTCAAATTTTGACCCTAACGGGTTTTGATAGCTGGTCTGTGAAAGTGCCTGCTTTTGTTTATGATGTTTTCATATTTGGAACTGAAAGTAAGTGAAGCCATATGGAAAATTATAGCAATTCCATATTCCGTATGGAAAAATTTCAGTCTTTGCTGATGTGGTCCTGGTGTAGTTATTTCAGTACCATTTAATCAGCACATAATGGAGTAGAACTAAAGACATCTGAGTTGGAAGCACAGATTATCACTCAGTTAAAAAGAGAAGTTTATTTTTTGTTTATAAAACATTGGTTCTTTCAAATTTCTATAGTATATACCCTGATTTTAACAGTAGTTATCTATATAATCAGCTTAAAAATCATTTAAAGAAAAATTAGGAGAATCCAGCTTCTATCCTATCTAATGAGACTTATGTTTAGTTAATTAACATTTTCAAACTGCCAGGAGTGGAATTGAATATGATTGAAATGCAAGGAAATTGAGTCTAGATTAGGCAGATCACAAGGAGGTGATTCATTTTTTTTTTTCCAGCCTTCTCACTTCATTTCACACGAGTATTCTCTGCAGACATAAAACATTGTATGCATTAAAGATCTGGTTTCCAGAAAACAAATGTTGAAACCATTAAGTACTTGAAGAAGGAGACAAAAAAGGCATAATAGCTATTCAGCTTTTCAGTATTATATTTGTGGTGTTTTCAGATTGTTTATATTTTAAAATCAGCATTAGAAAATAGGTTGAAAAGAAACATAAATCAGGTTGAAAAGCAACACGAGAGGATCTACAATTTGGTGTCTTGTAGGGAGAATGGTGCTCTAGGAGATCACTGTGTGGGCTATTTGCACAGCTTCCAAGTCCTTTGTAATGAGTGTTGGTGTGCCCTGCTAGTAAGAATATAAGTAAGAAGTTACAGAATTGCATTACCTAAAGTAATGAAAGTAGTGTGTGACTTAGGTCTACACTTTTACTTGAAATGATATAAGTGTTTTTTGTTGTTGTTGTTTTATTTTAATGCTCCTGCGTGTCCTAAAGCTAGGTCTCTCCAATCATCTTTGGTGTATATATTATAAAAGTATAATGAAAATATGTCTCCCTTTCAGTGTCTGAGTTGTTTTAAACCTTGCCTTCTACTATTTTCTTCATGCCAAGGATACATTTTTTTTTTCCCCCTTATTTTTCCCCTATTTGTCTTCTAGCTGTACCTCCCCTCCCAGCCCTACATGTCCTAGGAGAACTTGCAGACCCTCCTTTTGTGTGGTATGATGAAAGGCAAATTTTCCTATCATACTGGTGACTCCCTTTGGTATAACTGTTCCCATGTTATGGAGTTTAGAGTTAGTAAGATAACTCAAGAACTTAAATAAAGATTGCAGCAGAGAATTTAGAAAATTTTATAAAATAGCTACAGTTTTATTGAACAGAATCTCATTTCCACAGCACAGTTTCTATATATAATTTTTTTTTATCAACCTATATATAGTATGGTAGCTTGGGTGCTGGAAAGTTGTAGAGGAAAGCATTGGAGACTCCACACTTGCAAAATGAAATTCTGCTAAATTCTTTATTGTTCCATGTCTGTTTTGGTCAAAGTTCACCCTTCAATATTTGCTTCTCTTTGTTTCAAAATTAATAATAAAAAAAAATTGCTCTGACTGTTCCAACGAGTACAACTGCAACAAACATACAGCCTTGTATGATTCCACCACTGTTAACTACTATCCACCACCATTAAAGGCCACATTTTAGTGGATGCTCATTGAAATGTACTAGAACTTGAGTAATTTTTACTTTCATGGTAGATTTCTCTTTATTAAGCTCTTTAATATTTCTTCTAATTTGTGTATGTTGTGCCTTAACCAGGCTTCCCTTGAAAACATGCCAAATGGCAGAGGAAACTACTACACATTTTAAAAGGACATTGTAAAATGTGTATAAATATGTAAGTGAATTCTAAGTCCTAATGAACCTAGTGGCCTAAAGGAAATATTGGGCCAAAAATGAAGTAAACTGGTCATTAGTAAGGTCTGACTCCACAAGTCTTTACTTGCATCAAGTAAATCAATCTCTGGTTCTCTCTGCATTTTGTATAGATATGGAAGCTGTTTTCTGGATCAATAAAACAAGTAGATTAGAGAGTTTGAAGGTATTTGGTGTCATGTTTGTATATCAGGCATTAGTTTGAAAATTATTGAATTTGCCATTATAGAGCAGCTTGTTTACTTCATATACAAGTGCTTCTGTACTAATGAAATCAGTGGGGCCAATGGTCTGGTAGGTAAGGCAGATGTCTAGGGTATCCAAGATATTTGGATGTGGATATTTGTCCATTTGAAACCAAAGAAATTGAGACATAGGATTCATTTTTCCTTTTTGAAAACGTAGGACAATATAACTATAAACTATAACTTTCTTGAAAAGGACTTTCATTTAAAATAACTGGAGGACATAATAAGCATTGAAGTAGTACAAATTTAGCTCAGCATTATTAACATTGGCTTAGAGTCTAAACCTTGTTTCAAATATAGACCTATGGTTTGAGGCAAGAAGTGGGATTTGCTGTATAGCATGTGTTTATAGTTGTTGTAACATATTGCAAGTAATATGGAGGGAAACTTGCCAACATTAGAGCAAAAGATTGTCATGACTTCCATTCTGTGTTTAAAACTAACGTCCTCTGTTTCACTTAACTTGCACTTTTTAAATATCCTTAAAAAATTGTAATTTTGACTAGATCTGTAATTTTCTTTTTTAACCATTCTTTTCTTCAGTATTTATGTTAATCCTTACATATGGAGTAGCACTGTAGTATCTGTTAATTGCCATAAGGGGGCTTTGAAGGGTAAAATATGTAGAATTTTCCTCTCCAAGCCTTGGTTTACATTGTTAAGAGGAAACCACATAAATCCTGTCCATAATGGAGCATGTGACAGGGCTGACTGTTTTCTTTCCAAAAGATGGTGGTCTTTCATATTAGGGTTATGATTAATAACAGCAGGAATTGTCAAGGACATAATTATTGATGTTTATACAATCAATCTCTGTCTCTTTCACCCACACCTAGATATTTTCTGAAAGTTTGTATTATCCTTTTCCTAAAAGAGATTTTTTGGTCTCTTTCAGTTTAGCACACTGCAGCTCTTGTTTAATAGAATACTTCTTTTGGTAGAAAGAGGGAATCTGGTTTACAGGATGCCCTACAGGACCCTTCCCTGGTTCCTTGAGACCTGTTTTTATCTTTATCCTAATAAATTTGTTCTTGAATAAATCAACTTTTTTCCTTTTCCTGGCAGAAACTTTAGAGAGACTTCCTAAGTTCATGTTATCTGAGCTAACAGAAGAACGGATTTGGTATAGCAATTAGTATCTGATTTTCTTAGAAGAGCTAATTTGGAGTGTATGCTGTCAGGCACAATTTATAGTAAACCTGTTCAATTATAGATTTGAAGAGCTGCTTTAATGAAATTCTAAAAGGCTCAGTGCATTCTCAGCAAGGAGACTGCACAAGCATCTTCTACTGCCTCTTAATTGGGAGATAAGCACAGGTGCCTTAGCTGCAAACACCTTCCCTCCAGCAAATTATTTCATTTAGTAAACTTCCAAATATTGCTTTTCTTTCTTGAAACCAGTAAGCTGTGTATCAGATTCTTCTACATCCATTTCAGGACTTCGGTTCAGTGCCCAGGCATAGGGAGAAGTCAACTTTAGTCAACTTTTTCAGTTGTTTCTTATTTATCTTGCTTAATGAAAGCATATGAAAAGTTCATCGGGTTTTTTTTTATTATTATTAAAATTTCCTCTGTGTTCCTTTTGTGTTTAGTGATGGTGAATGGGAGTGTAGACCTAAAACAGCAGGCTTTGTAACTAATGAGACCTGTTTAATTACTGAGGCTGCTCACAATGAAAGCAGTCGCCTGAAACCGTCTGCACTAGGGTTGCTTCTACCAGTAAAGCTGTGCTGGAAAGGAGAAAAAAAGATTGAATAGGATGAAAAAGTGCATTGTGCAATACAGCTATTGTAGAGC